TACAGCAGGGCCCATTTGAGCCTTTGCAGTCAGTCGAGCTAAAGTTTCTTTCAATGAAAACTCTGCTCCTGCTTGCACTGGCCTCCATCAAGAGGGTAGGGGACCTGCACGCATTTTCGGTCGTGGCACACAGGGTGTGCCGGCCCTGCTATGTGCCCAAGGTTCCTATTACCACCTTCAGGTAGTGAACCTGCAAGCGCTGCCCCCGGAGGAGGCAGACCCAGCCATAGCTTTGCTTTGTCTCATCCGAGCCTTGAGATGGTACGTAGACCGGACACAATGCTTTAGGACCTCAGACAAGCTCTTTGTCTGCTACGGAGGCCGGCAGAAGGAGAAGACCGTCTCTAAGCAGAGGATGACCCACTGTATTGTGGATACCATCACCTTGGCTTATCAGGCACAGGGTGTGCCCTGCACACTCAGGTTGCGAGCTTACTCTACTAGAAGTGTTGCATCCTCCTGGGCGCTGACTCGTGGCGCCTCAGGTAGTGAACCTGCAAGCGCTGCCCCCGGAGGAGGCAGACCCAGCCATAGCTTTGCTTTGTCTCATCCGAGCCTTGAGATGGTACGTAGACCGGACACAATGCTTTAGGACCTCAGACAAGCTCTTTGTCTGCTACGGAGGCCGGCAGAAGGAGAAGACCGTCTCTAAGCAGAGGATGACCCACTGTATTGTGGATACCATCACCTTGGCTTATCAGGCACAGGGTGTGCCCTGCACGTTCAGGTTGCGAGCTTACTCTACTAGAAGTGTTGCATCCTCCTGGGCGCTGACTCGTGGCGCCTCACTGGCAGATATTTGTAGAGCTGTGGGCTGGGAAGCCCCCAACACGTTCGCTAGATTCTATAGCCTTCATGTGGAGCCGGTATCCTCCTGTGTTCTCACCTCAAATGGGTAGAGGCACTGAGAGGCCTTGGTTTAGTGTCAGCTTGCTAAAAATGCTCCAGAGTGTCTATACTGTAGACCCTGTTGAGCTCCTCCATCCCCTCAGCAGCCAGAGGTGGCAGAACGGCTGCTGTTCCACCACTGAGCGGCCGGGTCACCGGCTCGGCTCCTCAGCGAAAACCTGATATACGTTGCACCGGCTGCCTTTTTATGCTCACGCTGTGATCAGCAGAAGCTGGATGCAATCATCACATGCCCAAATTCGTTTAGTTTACACTCAAAGTGGATTGGTCTAAGAGAGATCCATACGTAACAGAGACGTTTTTCTTGTTTTGTGAGGAATTGAGGAAGTAATGTGGAATTAAACATTAACCAGCCACTGACTCTCTGACCTTTAAGCAACAGCAGTTTCAACTTTATGGGCTGAACAGCAAGGTTCTTTGAAAGCAACCTCTCTCTTTCTGTCATGCTGTTTTATGTTATATATTCTATCTGCTGACCTTGAGAACAGCAAAGAGAGATAAGAAAAACTAAATGTAACACTGCATCTTTCAAAAGCGAAGCCAGTTGTGTGTGGACCTTGAAATGCACCGTAAGATGAAAAACCACATGAAGCAGTGCACACTATCTCCTGTATTTATAAATACAACCTAGATAGAAAATTTTAAAATTAAAAGTGCATACACTACCTTGAGTTAGAATCAGTGCTATTCAGTTGAAGATTGGGTTTTCATTGAAATAAGTGACCCTGACCAAAGCACGGTAAGACACTGAAGTGGAGAGAGGCTTTTATGATGCCCTATTGGATTTGGTGTCTCTATGTCCACAGTCATCCAAGCACTGCAAATTAGACTGATGAACCAATGCAGCCCCGTCGAATTTACTCTGACTTGTTTTCACCTTGTCATATTCATTAGATTTATTCTGCTATGACTGCTATATGAAAAAAATACCTTTTAGGGTTTTTTTTCATTCTTTTAGTGTGGGTTTATCCAAGAGTGGAACTAATTCTTCTTTCTTACTTTTCTTTCTTTCTGGCTGAAGTCAAGAGTCCCAAATTTTCTAGGACATTCTAGGACATTCTAGTCTATATAATTTTTTTGGCCAATTTATTGTTCATCAAGTGAAAATGATATGCATGACCTCTCCTCAAAAAAAAGAAGCATGATTTAAGGTATCATTCAGGTCCGTAAAAAGTGCACAAAAGTTTAATACTAAGGGGTTTAGAATGTACAAACAATTAGCCTTAACAAGCACCACTAATTAAAATAATAAATTAATAAATTAAATAAATAAATAATATATAAATTATTGTCCATTAACAGTGGAATTTTGTCCAGACTTAATTTGCTACTAGGAAACTAGAATATTGCACTGCTAAGATCAGATCCTTTGACGAAAATATCTTCAGACAGACCTCTCCCTTTGGTGTTAGGATGGTGTTTAGGAAGTCATCCTAGTTTCAGAATCTCAGTGGTCGTGGAGTAGTTTCCTCTCAGGGCCTGAGATCTGAATGAGTGGCTCTGATAGAGGCTGAAGTACTGCTTCACTGGGCAAACCCAAGTGGCCTGAACTGTAGAAACATTTGAGTGGTTTAGGAGCCGATTTAAGTGGGCGACCTGACAGAGCACCGTCAGCTAATTCTCCGTAATAGGGAACCAGCTTATTAAACATTACTGACATAGGTCTAGTTACCTACTGTAACAAAGGCAGTGAACTTGGTTTATTATACAATTATTATCAGTGTTGGGGAAAGTTACTTTTAAAAGTAATGCATTACAAGATTGTGTTACTCCCTAAAAAAGTAACTAATTACGTTACTTAGTTACTTTTTATGGAAAGTAATGCGTTATATTACTTTTGCGTTACTTTCGCGTTACTTTTTAAATATAAGCAGGGCTTGATTGTTTTTAATATAAGAAGTTCTATTTATAGCAAATATAAAAGCCCTTTCACACCAAAAAGTGTAATGAATAAACCTCAGGCTGAAGCAAAAGTAAATTCACGTCTGTACAGTAGAACGCAAGAGAAGAAACACTTTTCAGCAATAAAAAAAATCAAAGCACAATTGTTAGTTTCTCTAAAGTCATTTTTGCTTATTAGTATGGTTGAACTGGATCATCAAAGGTCAGCAGCAAAGATATTGGTAAATAAAATGAAATTAGATACATATGTTATTTAACATACTTCATTATTGCAGGTTTGCATCATATTCTGAGTTTACATTTCACTGTTTTAATTCATTTTGATGAATAGCAAATCAGTTTTTTGTGAGTGGCATGAATTAATGCACATTCACATTTAGTCTAGAACTACAGTAACATCATGTTCACACAGCGCACACAACGCCTCTGTACTTCCGAATTTCTCCCAATATGGGGACAGGAGAGCTGTCAGTCAATAAATGGGAAAACAAAGTAACTGGCATTACTTTTTTGAAAAAGTAACTCAGATATTTTCTTGTAAATTAAAAAAGTAATGTGTTACTTTACTAGTTACTTGAAAAAAGTAATCTGATTATGTAACTTGCATTACTTGTAATGAGTTACCCCCAACACTGATTATTATGTATTATACAATATGCCATGGTCAAAATCCAAATATTCAATCAGGGTTATTATAGTTAACTAAAACTAAAATGTAAACCTATTTTTTTAAGTCTTTTATTATCCTTTTTATTATTAATAATGATAATAATAATGATAATAATAATAATAGTTTTAATACATCAAGTTAAACTAAATGAAAATGAGAAATGTTGCCTTAGCAACTATCTGAAATAATAATAATAATAATTTAACAAAAATGCAAACAAGAAATATAAAGATGAAAATTAAAACAAATTCTAAATATTAATAAAAACTATAATAGTATCTCAATGATAATAAAATAACACTGGTTCAATAAATGAGGCTAACAAATCCAAAATGACAGACAAAACATGCAAGAGATCAGTAATATAGCCAAAATATGAGATAAGTATATACAGGCATAACTGCAGCAAGAATGAGACTTCACAAACATTGAATGACTCAGACTGCCTTACATCAGAGCCCTCCGGTACCCCCCCCCCCCCCCCCCCCCCCAGTACACTGGCAAAGATACAAGAAACCTTAGACAAGAGGCCTTTTTAATGGATGTCAATGAAGAAGAGTCTTCAATACTCTAAATGAACTGGCTTTGTGAGGAAACAACTCACAATCGACAGACTTTTTGGCTAATCGTCAGAGTTCCCTTTCATGGGAACTTCGAACTGCGTCCTCTAGGGGTCGCTATGGGGAATGCCTCGTCGTGACCCGTGTCTGAAGCTTCTATGGCTTCATAGTGACCATCTTACTGATGGTCCGGTCTAGAGGCTTCTTCGGACAGAGCTCTGACGCGGGAACCATGGTGGGTGAGTACGATCCATGTCTAATACTGTATATGTATATATGAATATATATGTATATTTAATGAGACTGGTGGTTGTGTGTAAAAATAACCCTTCTGCTAGTTTTCTTTGCAGTGTTTCCCGGGACTTGTGTGTTTCTGTTCCTTTTCTAGGGTAGGTCCTCGAAGAGCACCCCCTCTGCTGGGTTCAGAAACCGGGTGCTCGACTTGCAGTGCGTATTTCCTCAGGACACCAAGTTCATCCACACTAAGGCCAATCGCTTCGAAGAGGTAGCCTGGTCCAAATACAACCCGCAAGACCAGCTGTACCTGCACATCGGCCTCAAGCCACGAGTCCGGGATCACTACCGCGCCACTAAAGTGGCGTTCTGGAAGCACCTGGTTCCTCATCTGTACAACCTTCACGACATGTTCCACTACACCTCCACCACCACCAAAGTGCCACCGCCCGAGACGACTCAGAACTCCCTGTCCACCAAACGTCCCAACGGCAAAGCATGGCCGTTCAACACCAAGCGGCCTCCGATGTCTCCAGCCTACAACAGCGAGAGCGGGAAGGAGCAGTGGAATGGAGAAGAGGAACCAGGCCCTCTGTTGGTGGAGAACCCACGGGATTACTCCACCGAGCTGAGCGTAACCATCGCAGTGGGAGCTTCTCTGCTGTTCCTCAACGTTCTGGCATTCGCCGCTCTGTACTACCGCAAGGATAAGCGCAGACAGGAGCAGCACCCACAGCCCAGCCCTCCACGAGCCACCACCGCCAACGACGTGAACCGGCACGCCCCTGAAGAGGAGATCATGTCCCTGCAGGTCAACCAGACGCACCACACATAATGTATATTAAAGTAGTGTTTATAAGCGCAGCAATGATTTGTTGACAGTGGTAACCAAGGAAATGCTGTATTTGTCATGTATGTCATAAGTGCCTCCTGCTGTCAGAGAGTGAATTTGCATCCTCATGCAGCCCGTCTGCTTTTTATGTAGTTTTAGGCCCCGATCAGACAGAACGTGTTTTTTGCAGTGAGAGGTGCCTTTTTTGAATTGTTTTCTATTGGCAGTGAGCGTTTTGCACGCTGTTTATGCGCCCCGGGCGCCCCGCGTTTTAGCCGCTTGCTGTGCCTCCTGTTTTTGCAGGAGCACTCTGAGCCCCTGACGAGCGAGCGTTTTCAATTCATTCCTATGGAAGTTGAGCTTAAACACGCAGTGAACTTCACGCGGTGCATTATGGGATTGAAAGTGGCGCGGAGAAAGCGTTGAGAGCGTCCGTGAGCGGCAAATAAGGTTGGGCATTCCTCGACTTTATGCTAATATCGAGCGAAAAATGCCGGTGACAACCAATCGTCGTTAAAAGAAGAAGAAGAAACACAAACAGGGTATAAACCTAGTTCTGTCATGACAACTCTCGGAGGGATTGGCATGGTAATGTACATGACAATGTTAATGTATTTGGTCTTGGCGGAATAGATCTGCTATGCAGCTGCTGCTGCGGCAGAGCAAGTACAGAGACTTGCTACTGCCAAAACATCCACAGCATGCTGATGTGGGTATGTAAGAAATATTGCTGCTGCAAATATAACATACATGAAATAACCCCCCTAAATATTCGCATACATGAATCACCTCGTAGCAGATCTATACAGGTGGAGCTGGGGAAGGTGGAGGGTTTCTGAAGCAAGCTGCACTGCTACTGCAAGCTCATTGGCTACTGATACAAGAGAGAACCAATCAGCTGTGCCATGTGATAGTGATGTCATTAGGTCAGATTGAGTTAGACCATTTGGACTGCGCCATCTAGAGTTTCATACCAGAACTCTGTATTTTTCAGAGGTGTGCTCTGCCCTAAATTTGACATGCCCCAAAGCAGTGGCGTTGTGGCGTTGCCAATGGCACTGAGCGCAGATTTGATGCTGTAGTGGAAACGCACCGTAAAGTTGAAAAAAAAGCAACTCTGAGCAGAAAAGCACCCAACATCTTTCGTTTTTTTTCCATTGTCCAATCGAATGAATGGAGAGGTGGGCCTTCCATTGTGCTGATGAAAGTTTACCGTTGCTTAGAAAGTCTGGAGAATGCAATGATGGAGGAGAAACTTTTGGTGTCTGTCGCGGGTTACCAGGAGCTGTATTTTTTAAGGTTTTTGCTAATATGACAGTTTACTTAACAGCAAAAACCAAAGATTTTAGAGCGCTCGCGCTGTAGTCCTTTGATTAGACTGACAGGACAGCTGATTTGGTGGTTGCCTAGCAACATAAAATACTGCAGCACACTGATCTTTTTTAAAAGTCACCAAAAAAAAGCCAGTGCGGTGCGCCTCCTCGCATTTTCAGACCTAAAAATACATGTTCCGTAGCATTAATGTAGCATAATCTGTCAGAACAAGTCAATTTGCTTCAAATGCATTTTCTGTAAAAGATGCATTTTCTGCTGGAAACATGCTGATATTTCTTAAACAAAAATAATAATTTCCGTGCAGGTCAACCAGACGCACCACGAGTGTGACGCAGGGCCACCCGGAGACCCCTTACGGCTGGCTTCGCTTCCCGACTACACGCTGACTCTGCGACGCTCGCCTGACGATATCCCGCTCATGACGCCCAACACCATAACCATGATCCCCAACTCGCTGGTGGGCATGCCCAACCTACATCCATACAACACCTTCACAGCTGGCTTCAACTCCACCGGCCTGCCACACTCCCACTCCACCACGCGTGTATAGCTTTATGGCCATCCGACAAGAGGGAGGGATGGGGGAAGAGTCTTTGGCTTCAATGAAAACACTGATGTGAGAGGAGGGGGTTCAGGACGATGGCGGAAATGAAAAGATTTGAATAGACTTTTGCAAAAAGCAGTGACAAGTTCTTTCCAGATGTCAAGTTGTTCAAACCTGCCAAAACAGAACTGCTCTCTTTCCTTTGAAAAGGGACGAGCGTTTCAAGCAGTATTTTTTCTAATCATCGTTTTAAAAGAGAAGAAAGAAACGCCTTTTTAAGCAGAATCGGGCGAATGGAGCGATCACTTTTTTCTTGAATAAATAACAAAAAAACGAAAAACAAAGGAAAGTGCATTTTATTTCCCATCACAGTCTTTTGTGGGAAACATGTTTCAAAACAATGGCCTCTAAGGTGACATCTGCATTATATTGTTTGCTTTGCTTTTCCTCCACCACGCGTGTATAGCTTTATGGCCATCCGACAAGAGGGAGGGATGGGGGAAGAGTCTTTGGCTTCAATGAAAACACTGATGTGAGAGGAGGGGGTTCAGGACGATGGCGGAAATGAAAAGATTTGAATAGACTTTTGCAAAAAGCAGTGACAAGTTCTTTCCAGATGTCAAGTTGTTCAAACCTGCCAAAACAGAACTGCTCTCTTTCCTTTGAAAAGGGACGAGCGTTTCAAGCAGTATTTTTTCTAATCATCGTTTTAAAAGAGAAGAAAGAAACGCCTTTTTAAGCAGAATCGGGCGAATGGAGCGATCACTTTTTTCTTGAATAAATAACAAAAAATGAAAAACAAAGGAAAGTGCATTTTATTTCCCATCACAGTCTTTTGTGGGAAACATGTTTCAAAACAATGGCCTCTAAGGTGACATCTGCATTATATTGTTTGCTTTGCTTTTTGATTTCTTTTCAATGCCTTATAAAGAGCTGTTTTTTCACTTAATTTGACGATCTTTCCCTGAGATGTGTCTGTGTGGAACATGGCGATCTGACTCGAGCGGTTGGATCCCAGGAAGCATTAGACAGACGACAAATATGGAAACGGTGGATTGAAATGGGAACTTCAACTCATTTTCCAGTTGCATAAGCTCACATGTGGTGTTTTAACTTTTTTTCTTGGTTCCACTGAAAGTCTTTTGTTTGAAACTTTTCAATTGGACAAGACTGGAGATAAAGACTTTACTGTAAGAAGTTACTGTAAGTGTTTTGTTTAAAGAAAAGTGCATCTTTTACAACAAAATTATCTATCGGCTCCTGTGTCAAATTCCCATGAAATGCACACGCTCAGAGCACTGTTTGACTGATGTGCTTGTGTGAGAGATTCTGGGTGTGAATGGGAATATTTGAGTTGAGTCTATGTGTGTGTGTGTGTGTGTGTGTGTGTGTGTGTTGAATTGCCTTTGCCATGTTTTCTGTTATATATTTGTGTAATGGGGGTGGGGGGGGGCTTCTTTACCACTGCATTGATTTTGTTCACCACAAGTAGTGTTTCAGCTGCGTCTATTGTCGTCTGTCTTTTGCGAAATAGAACTTTTTGTTATTTTAAAAAAATTACATATGTCTAATTTTGCTTAAGAATTACAAAATAAATCTATTATTTTACATGCAAGAGAAAACAATAGCTTAAGATTGAACTGAACTAACTGACATGATTCCATTGACTTTGTAAGCGTTCCTCTCGACTGGAGACAGTGGCCTCTTTACACTGAATAACCTGACTTCAGTGTAGACATGTGTTTCTTTAAATATATATATAAATATGGGCATACATACATATATGTATAGGGCTTTTATGAAGATTTTGCTCAGTAGCCATTGACCTGAAAGTGTAAATGACCATTATTATTAATTATTAGGCTGAAAGCACCAATACACAGAGGGCAGAGCAGTTAGTGTCTGTACTAGTTTTATCTTCTACACCATAATCTGAGACCACAACAAGTGTCTTTTTAATAGCTCTATATGTATATTTATGTATAAATATATTTAATATTTATTTATGTATACCAGATGTATACATGCTGATTGTGCCATGTGCCAAATTAAACCATAAAACTGGAGAAGAAAACGGTTTCCAAAAAACTTTATTTTATTTATAAGTTTTATTTTTGCACAACTCCATCACAGTTAAATGCATATTTCCTATCTGATCTTTGTTGCTTAACATATAACACATTTTCATGAAATTATGGGTGGAATTCAAGGTAATATGTTAAATCAGAAATCTGTACCCCCAAGTCATTTTGTAGTATGATTAGCACAAAAAATGCTAAAATACCCCTTGAAAACTCCATTTTGCAAACATGTACAAAGTTAATCTCTTACTATAGCTCTGAAAGGAGCTGATGCACGGTATAAATGAATATTTCCATTAATTAGATGGACCATTTTCTGATTAAATGAATTATTCTTGTAGTAACAGCTACATATATTACTGCGTTTATCGAATGCCATGTTTGGGAATATTAGAGCTTGATAATGATCCCACACGGTTTCCTCATGTCTGACTCCATAGTCACTGCTAACAGAATCACACCAGGTTTTATATTGCTTTGTTTGCACCTGTTAATATGGATCAGAAGTGTTGCTAGGTTTTTGACAAGTGTTGTGGAGTAACTCATTACAAAATAAATGTAACTGTAATCTGTTACAGTTACTGAGAAAAATGTTAACAATAACACAAAGGGGGTTACATTTGAATATTTTCACACACATATAGATTTGATTAACTTCTTACCCAAATTTCTTTGACTGCTTTAAAATGTGAGACACCAATGTTTCAGGAGCTTATAAGACACATGCTTAACTGTTTTATTTCGTCTTTTTTTAAGATTTACTTTTTTTTTTTGATGCCGGTGTTTGCTGTCAAAGATTTGATTTCAAAAACAGTATCATAGCTATTAAACGGTTTCTTGTTCTGGTTTTAAATCTGTATTTAACCTCAGAATGATCTCAAAGTTAAAAGAGCTCCTAAAGTCTGATTTTGTTGTGGCAGTGCTTTAAAATTAAATGATTATAATCTTAATTCAAGTAAGCAATCAGTGTTGAGTGCTACTGTAAGGTTAACTGTGCCTGCTTTACAGTACACACTAATTGCACGCACAAGGTAATACACATTAAACAGAGCTAATAGCACATGCTCTAAGGTGTTAAGAGGCGATCTCAACCATTGCAAGCTAACGGCGCATTTTAATCTTATTAACCTTATGTGCTGTGCCAACCCGACTGCGACGGCTGCAAGCAAACAATAAAACGAGCTTGCAGGTAATTGCATGCAAAGGAAGGAGAATAATTGCATGTTTGAATGTTGCATATTAATTGAAGACAGTGAAGCGGTCATATAGAACTAATGCGTGTTGAGTGATGTGTGGATGTAATAATTGTGAATGACTTCCCATCGTTTGAATCTTATCTTTTATTGAAAACAGGACCCAAGAGTGGGGATTTTAAAATGAATCCATCCATTCACCACCAGTATCTGTATTCGGTTAAAGCGTTTTACCCATTATTGTTATTCATTTTAATATTAAACAAATCATACAAATACAAATGATAATAATGATAAAATCAATGAAACCCCGCATACATCATTAGAGGAAAGACTGTTGAATTTAAAAAAAAATAAAGGATTAAACTATACAGTCAAGACATTTTTTAATAATTGAGAAAACTTGCATTTAGCAAACAGATTTGATCGGGTGCATTTTCAGCCTAAAAGCTTTAGGCTAAATACTAAAGTCTAAAAGTGAGCTATATTTGAATATGGCTAGCGTATTCTTGTCAACACTACTTCCAAAAAGCACCAGTTTGTTTTGAAATCAATTTAGCTATTTTCTGAGGCGTTCAGAAGAAATGAATAACAACTTTTCCATTTGAAATTCTTTTCATTAGTTGCTGTTAGTCGCTTTATATCAGCTGCACATCTCATCATGACCAGGCCTCTTCAGCGATCTCCTGCTCTTTCTTTCATTACCTTCAGATGATGTGCTGTCTCTTTTTTTTCTTCAGAATAAACGGAGTGAGATTTAATACCCTGAATAGACTATCCTGACCTCTGTGCTATTATGCTAAAGAACAAATATCATTATCATCATGTCATTATCTCTAGTTCCAGCTGCCTTAGAGCCGATTTGAGCAACTAAAGTCTAAACCCTAAATGAGATCTATAGAGTGCACATTGAAAAGAAATGAATTTGGCCTTAAGCAAAGCTATCCTTAAGTGGTGCTCTCTTGATTCATTTCATTTTTGCTAAATAGTAACAAGTGGTTTTAATACCCTTTGTGTTTTGAACTAACATATGTGACCCTGGACCACAAAAGCAGTCTTAAGTTGCTGGGGTATATTTGTAGCAACAGCCAAAAATACATTGTATGGGTCAAAATTATCCATTTTTCTTTTATGCCAAAAATCATTAGGATATTAAGTAAAGATCATGTTCCATGAAGATATTTAGAAAATATCTTACCGTAAATATATCAAAACGTAATTTTTGATTAGTAATATGCATTGTTAAGAACTTGAAAATGCGATTTTCTCAATATTTAGATTTTTTTGCACCCTCAGATTCCAGATTTTCTAATAGTTGTATCTCGGCCAAATATTGTCCTATCTTAACAAACCATACATCAATGGAAAGCTTGTTCATTCAGCTTTCAGCTGATGTCTAAATCTCAATTTCGAGAAATTGACCCTTATGACTGGTTTTGTGGGTCACATATGGTTGTAGTTAACCGGAAAAAAAAAATCTGCTGAGGTCTTGTCTGCACATCCGTTGTTCAAGTTCACATGATTAGATATGGTGTGATTGTGTAGTCTTAGGGTATACGATCTCATAACATGCCTCACTGATTTTATTGCAGGCTTTTCAGACGTTTAAGATCAGTTTAGGCATCTAAGAAGCTAAAACGAGCTTTCTGTTGATTTCAATTATTTTGGATGCATCTAAATTTGGAATCGGAGCAAGGTTAGCGTGCAAAAATAACACCCCTGTGCTTTTTATTCCTCAAAAATAATCTGCTACAGAACACAGACGTGTATAAAGCATTTAATAATATTATGTGTTGATATTGAGCACCAATTAACAGAAATTTAGTGTGTTCTATAAAAGCATAATGGCTGATTGCCCATAAAACCATGACTGACATTGTTATTTAGGTTTAAATGCATGCTTACAATTTGTCCTTGTTGCTGCTCTCTCAAACACATGACCACCAGCAATTCAGAAGGTCTAATAAATGATATATGATATCCTCTTGCATTGTACCTCCAGTAATATGGCATATAATGAAGGAAAATGGCAAGCTAGCCTCTGACCTCACAGCTGAAAACTAGCCCCCATTCCAAAAATATGTCTCCTAATCTGGAAATGCATTTTGTTCTTTTGTGGCCCTCAAGCATGCGGCTGAAAATACAGTCAGAGTCAAA